AACGCAAAAGAGGAAAAAAAAAAAAAAAAAAAAAAAAAAACGCGGAAGCGCCAAGCGCAACCAATTCACACCCCGTGGTTGCCCGGACAAATCCCCTAAGTACATGCAAATTAATTTTTCCAATGTGGCCCAACGCCGCTCGAGCAATCTACAATTTCTCACCTGTTCAGTGCTGCGCTGCGTCCCCCGTATCGGCAATAAAATATACTTGCAGTGGTAAAAATATAAAAAGAAATACACATGTGCATGCGCGGGGTAGCACAAATGTGTTCATACAACGCGCATGTAGAGAACGCGAATCGACCTGACAACGAATTATTCTTAATTGTGCGAGTCGTACTAAGTCCACATGCAGAACAGTTCAGAGCGTGGTTCTTCCCCGCACTAATTGTGCCAGCCAGTTTTTTTGCATATTTCTTTGCATTTGTTTTGTATGTCGATTTTTTTATTTTCGCGCGCGTTTTATGTGCCCTCCTGATTGGCTACTGCGACGTCAAGTACACAAGTAACTCCATGGGTTGAACCATAGTTCACTTTCGAGCAGCTTGCTTATCCCCCTTGAGACGTACCAATGGGCATCCTTCAATAAACACAACCATACGTCCATGACTTGTCAGTACATACATGTTGTATAAATGCGATAATAATTTTGTTAAAATTTTTTAAAAGAAACATTTCGCCTTACATGCAAAGTATTTATTCTTTACATTATGCCATGTGGTCCATTTTTCACCCAGCCACAATTTATGCATCGTGTCAACCGCGGTGCTGTTTCTGCTCTTCACAGAAAACGCCGCTTACACAGTTTGTGCGTGTCGTGGTAGCTACGAATTGAGCTTCTTATGTGAAGAAGACGCGTCGTTCCCACGTCCATTCTGTCCGTCATTTGATCGCTTTTTTAAGACCCTTTTTTTACCTACCTTAACATATATAGCCGTCCCACGTGCATACAAATAGAGTTATTCGAATATACACATCACTACACGTACTTACACACCGAAACATGTTTTGTGATAAATTCCTCCTCCACTTTTGTCTGTCCCTTTTAACCATCATCTGGCACGACGTACACGGCAGGGAAGGCAATGTGGTTCAAATGGTAGTCGACGCGGTTCGCTGGGGTACGCCAGAGGGAGAAGCCACCACAGGGAGACACAAGACAGTCACGAGGGATGAGAAGGAGCGTCACGCTGACAGCATGAACACGATGGAGACGCCCACATGGGACAGGGACGCCGCATCACAAGGAGAGGAAACCCCTTCACAGAACATACCAACTGAAGCAAAAAGCAATCACAAAAACAACATCGACACGATTGTAAATGAATATTATACAAACGTGCTCATACCAAGCGAATGTAACGCTCGAGCCAAGATGGAAGAAGAAAAAAAAAAAATGTCATTCATCACAAAAATTAAAAATTTGTTCATACAAAAAGAGAAAACGAAAGAAGACAATCCAGCAACACTGACTGAATACATATTTCAAAAAAATAAACAAATATGGGACCTAGAACAGGAGAGCGCAAGCACACACACAATAAAAAATATTTACAAGCACCTTTTCTGGGCCACTGCTTATGTCCTATTAAACGTGGTCATCATCCCGTTCATATCGTATTTTTACCTGTACAAAAGGTGTAAGGACACTATTATGCACGAGTATAAAAATAATACAGACAGACGCATTGTCCCTTACGACTATGACTTCTCTGCTAAGAGACCTCGTATAAACATTTCAGGCAGGACTTTCCGCAACTGCAAGTATCATGGTCCGCACAAGGGCAGCAACTTTTGCTTTCTCTTCGGGATGCTCCACGGGGCCCCTTACGGTACGAACACACGCGCGCGTACGTACGTACTCATGACGTGTGCGTGTCAGCATGTCCGCGTGGCCACCTACCCACGAGCAACACCTTTCCACACAATTACTTTATCCCCCTTCCCCATGTTGACAGCGATTGTGAAGTTATGACACTCGGAATTGGAACAACTCGAAGGGGCTTGTCCCTCCCTTCGGATGAAGCCTCCACTTCACCCCCCCTATATAAGCGAACTGCTGGTATGTTACATTTGAACGAAGGTGAAATGTTCAAGTGATGCAGTCAACGCGGGCGCGATGTATGAACGGGGCAGTAATACGCACAAGCTGTGCTAACCCGCCTGCCGCCACACGACACACGACACGCGCCACAAATCGCATACGCGAACATGTACATCCCCCAATTTGACGATGCAAGAGTGTTAAGCGAATGGCGTCACTGACGTGGGATGGTCCCCGTGTGGAATATCCCCCATGATGCAGGCCACCCAATGGAGTGTGCAAGTTGTCCACACAACATCGCCGCGCCCTATTTAAATGTCCCGCACAGACTGACAATTTTATATTCTCATTCGTGTCGTGTGAGCCCTGTCATTGTCCTATCAGCAACACTCTGCTTTGGCATCGCTCCCCCCCGTTCCCCCTTTGTTCTTTTACACGTGAACAGAAAAAAACACATTTCTTGCTGACCCTGTCATATACATTTCCAATTAAAAAAAAAAAAAAAATTATGCACAATGCAGATTTAATTTTCGTCTGTAATTTTTCACCCACGTTGGTAAGTACTGAATAGCATGTTGATCGCCTCTTCATGTGTCACTCCTATCATCATTTTGCTGCTGTTTGGTTTTTATCCCTTAACCGCGGCAACCAAGCTTTTTTTTTTGTCCACTTGTTTATACCTCCTCAGCAATGCGTGCATGCCAACTGTTCCCTCGCAATGCGTTTCAAACTCGATAGCTTCCTCCCTGCTTCTTACATTAGAAGGAGGGACCGGCTTACCCCGCCACTCCAACGTTCTCGTCTTCGCATTGCGCTTGCCCAGGTGTGGGAATGAAAAAAAAGCACGGGGGAAAAAGAAGCCTGCAGTGAAACGTGCTAACTAACCCTGGCGCAAAAAATGCAAAACCTGTTAGCCCTCACAGCCAAACGCTCAAGTATCACGTCGCATGAAAGCGTTATATACATATGTATATCATACGCATGTACATATTCGAAGTATTGTGCACAATTCGAGTGGCAAACGTGTCACGACGCAGCACTTGTGCTGCCCCCTCTGAAGCCGAATTAAACATTACGCTACCAAGAGACCGACACCAAGTATTTTTATCCCACAGCAACCTCTCCACCTGCATGGAAATGCGGCAAACAAAAAAAAAAAAAAAAAAAAAAAAGTATGCGTTGAAGGCGTTTGTGAGTACGTGATAATGCGCATGGATTTGCGGCAAAAAAAAAAAAAAAAAAAAAAAAAAAATCCCCAATAATGTTACAAACAATTTATTTGTACCAACTACGAACTCAAACCCTGCATATAAAAATATAAAAATGTATAACTGCCGTCCCTTCGTGAACATTTAACACCAGGGGGAGAAGCCACAAATGGGGGTTTATACACGCGCTGTTTTAGAAGAAGAGAAGCTCGGCATGCATTGCGCATTTTGCAATGCTTTGCTCCAATTCGAGCACGCTTCCTTCCGCTCTTCACGTGACACTATCCACAGGGAACAGCCACACGCAGAATCATATGCAACGTGCTGCCCCACCCAACTGTGAAGGAAAAAAAAAATTCCCAACATGGTCTTCAAAAGAATTACGCACAAGGCCAGCCAAATGCTGACCGGCTCCGACGTGGTGAAGCAGACCGATGTAAAAGTAAAGGCATCCCTGGGGAATGAGACCAAGGCGCTAATCCCTGACCACTGCAAAGGAGGACATACTGATGGAGAGAGCACCCATGTCAACACACAACCAGATCAACATCCCACCACAACAAACGACAAACAAAAAATCCTCCACCTGCGAGCAAAAAAAAAAGTCAACCTATTCCTGAAAAGGTACAAACTGGAAGGTTGTAAAAAAAAAAAAAAAAAAAAAAAAACTCCTCCAAGTCATCCATCTTGTTACACTCACAAAAAAAAAAAAATAATACAATAAAAAAATGCAAGAAAATAAATAAATTAAAAAAGATAAAGGAAGATTACTTAACCATTCTTAATTTGCAAAAAGAATTTGAAGACAAATATGAAGAGGAGAAATCATTCAGGGAGACAATCAAAAGCTACCACTCCAATGAGCTAGGCAAGGATTGTTCATACGCAGTTTTCTTCTTTCGTCTTTTTATGAAAGGAGAATACTTAAATGGGGAAGCTCTCACGGAAGCATTGGCCAAGGACAATCGGAAGGATGCTCAAGTGCCAGACCACCTGCCTCTTCCCCACTTAAGTCAGTCTAACCCAGATCAAACATCAAATATAAGAAGCAAGAATCTGAAGAAGTTCCTCGCCTTTCTTAATGGAAGGAACACAAGACTCCTCATGTGTGATTATTTAAAAATTTTAATGAACAATATACAAAACGAAAATGAAATTAGTACAAACTTCCTCATCCTCGAATACGTCGCTTCACACGAAACGAACCAGCAAAATGATTACACACCAATATGCAACACATACAAATTAAAAGGACACGTAAAGGAAGAGCACTCCACACTATCCTACTCACTCAATTCTGTGAAGGAAGCAGATGGAAGTTCTCTTCCAAGTGCGGGACCCCTCATGGAAAATTCGCAAAATCAACATGTAGACAATAATGCAGATGGAAGTAACACACAAAAAAAAAATAATAAAAATGTCACAAACTCGGCCGAAGTAACTACCCATGGGGGGGATAGAAGCGAAGAAGCGATTGCCTCCTCAGAAGAAGCCACACCAAAGGGTAGTGAACACAGGGAAGGAGACAATGTGACACAAAAAAAGGCAAATACAGATGTTGTACAAATGAATGAACCCTTGTTTAACAAAATCTTAACCAACTTTGTAACCGAATTGAGGAGTTTCTTCGTCTCCCTACTTGCAAAAATACAAACTAGCCAAATTGTATCACAACTCATAATTGCCTTTGCAGAAATCTGCCTCACCTTAACACCTTACTATGTACATATAATTAACTGTATAGAAGTTCTCTCCGATTTTGCAAATATAATTCCGATCAGACATATGGACCAGTTCATCAGTTTCTTCAAAACAAACAAAAATATCTTCATTGAAAAATACAAAGTGTTTCAAAATTGTGTTATTTTTAATGACCCTATAAAAACGCAGTCGGTGGGAGCTAGACTTATTGGCTTTATAAAAAATTT